AGTTGAGAATTCACTTGTTTCTCCTTTTCTTGAAAGAGATTTTCTTTCCCTGCAGAATTATCTGCAGAAATGTTTTAACTAAGTATCAAGTGTTTCAATGAAAAGCTGTTTTTCTTTTAATGTTGAAATAAAAAAATTCTTCTATGGAGCTGCTGTTTGACACCCAAGGATGAAAAGTGATCCATATGGATGGAAATGGTAGCTAGCACTCAGAGCAAGTACTGTAGACTTGCTTTCTTCAGCTAACGGGATGGTGGGACAAGGTAAGTGGAAGATCAGTTTCTCTGCAGTAGGCAACTAGAGCTGCTAAGGCTGCAGGAACAGGGCCAGAGTTGTACAGCTGATGTGCGCAGGAGAGATAGAAAGAACAACCTGGAAACATTGCCGTTAAGGAAACTGAGGAGACCTAATCGTGCAGTTTTGCAACTTGGGAAAAAAAAGAACAGTCTTTGTCTGTCTGTTGCTTCAGCACAGCACTTTACCTCAGCAGGCAAGAAAGCATTTGTTGCTGAAAAGGTAAGGTGTGGGTTCATGATACCAAACGAAGTGCGTGTTTTGCCTGTTTCTCTGCATACTTCTGACCAGGGTCTGGGCTGTTCTCCTTGGGTGAGGGAAGGTGAGTCAAGGATTAAGAAGCTGATAGACTCCATGAAAGGAAGGATATAAGCACTCCACCTTCACAACTTGTCTGAGCATTTGTAAGGGAAACCAGTAAGAAATGAGTTCTTAGATCTTATTTAATTAGTTAGGTCTTTGGTCTCATGCTGAAGGGAGGACTAAATACAATAATGCCCTTTTCTTTTTTCCTTTCTGGACACCCTGTGATGAAACAATGTTTTCCTTCATGTTTGCTTTCATCTCTCAAGCAGCACAGGGCAGGTTGTGTGGAAAGGTTGTAAAGGCCTAACTTGCCTATATTTATTCACGTTGCATAGTATCTTAGCCTGATTCATTCCAATAGACTTGCTTACAAATCTAGTTTCTATTCAATTGTGACAGAAAAATTGGAATTCATTTTATAGCAAATGTTTCTTTAGAATTAATAATGGAGTCTTGTCTGCTGCAGAGATGTTAGAAGAAGGTAAAATAGCCTATAGTTAATGTTTCCGTACTTGTCTGCTATACAATGTGGTCCATTCTGTCATTTTTCACTGGTGAATTATTTCTGCTTTGTATTTCAGAAATTAGTAGTGAGAAAAAGCTGTAAAAATGAGGCTCGAAAACTTGACATCTTAGCATGCTCGGAGAAGAGCACTAAAATGTCAACTGATTTGCCAGCTATTAAGGCACAACTGCAGATTTCCATTAACACATTGAACTAGCTCTGCTACAGCAGATAAAAGTCCTCTTCAAAAGAAGAAAGAAAAGATTCAGAGCAGGTCATTGCCTGAACACAGGGACTAAATTAACTAGAACAAAAAAAATTCACAGCTTCTTCCAGAAAGCTGACTACACTGCATCATATACTTCATTCACACCGGATGGATCTTAATGCCAAATATTTCTTGGTTTCTTGCTGTTTTCTCTGTTGTTTTCTAGAGGAATATTCTTGCACAAATGATCAGGCTGTAAGGAGGAAATGATTTCTTTTGCCACAGGTGTAGAGAGCAACACATGAAAGAGAAGTAATTTAGGAGTTGGACTGTGTGCAAATTTTCACTTGTTCAATTCTTTCACTTTATAATACTTGATTTTTAGAGTTATTTAACCCTGCACAAACATCTGCAATAATGATAGTATCCTCAAAAATGATTCAGATCAGTTTTGGGGAAGAAAAAAAATGGTTTCACACAAAGTTTTGAGATTTTAACTCACTAACCTTTTCAGATAAACCCTTGGGTAAATGTTGGGCCATTGTGTCTGTATTCTGGATGGCTCCAAGAGTGCTTCCCGCTCCAAGTGCACAACAGTGGCAAGCCATTACTGGGCAGGTGTGAGGGGCTGCAGTGGCACCTATGAGCAGTTCTGCCGCCATTGTGCATCACAAGTGCCTGTCCTTCTCTTCCCTGCTCTGTACAGTCCCACCTGGTTTCCTCAGCTTGGTGCGAGTGATGGAGCTGAGCCTTGACACTGGTGCAACCTCCGTATTGGACCCAGTATACAGCACAACTTACGGCTTATGGACATGAGCCTTATAGCAGCTCAGAAACAGCACGGGCCATTTGGCAACGTGAGTCTCCGTGCATCAGCGGACTGGGAGTTGAGTGTCCTGAAGAAGCTTGGTCAGTTAGCCAGCAAGGACCCATTTGTCCTGTTGGAGAGGTTATTTGATTCAGGTTTTGGGAGAGTCACAGAAGAGCAGAGACTGTGCATGAGAACAGAGCATGATGGGCGGCACTTCAGCCCCCTGAGAAAGGGGGTAGGGGGGCGGATGTGTGTGTTATGGATGGAAAGCTAGTTATTTCCCATGAAAGGGAGGCGCAGCACAGGAATTGAGATGGGTAGTGGCCAGCCCACTCATCTCAGAGGATTGAATGTTCCTGCATGACTGAAATTGTGACATATTTTCATACCTGAATTTCCTCATTGAGGAGGAGTACATGCACAGAATGAAAGGAATCATGAAAGAGTTTATTTCTGAAAATTGTTTGGGAAATAAAGAACAAGACAATGGATAAAGAAGTCCCCATAAATCTGCATATAAGTCTTGAATTAATGCTTTGAATCCAGTCTTTAGTTACAGGGAGAGGAGTGGTCCCTTTTCCTTATAAATGATTAGTGTCCTACATAATTCAGTGCTAGCCTTTGGATGTTTGCACTGTTATGTACAGATGTGTACTCTGGCAATAAGCCATTGTCACTCACCCAGTGGCGAAGATCAAAATGTCAATCAGCTCCTCCTTTGCTGTGTACTCTGTCAATGAGAAGAGCTCCTGGTGAAAATAAAAAGGCAATGATCATGTTAACAAAATTTGAATTGCAGCATTATAGTTGAAGGGAATGAGCTGTGATTGCACATGCAGCTTTTATTCTTGCACTTCCCTCTTTTGAGCATTTAGAATTATCACTTCGTAACTTTGATGATAATAGAGGTATTTTTTCTTTTTATTCCAAGAAGTCTTATGAAGAAACCATTATTTTATATGCATCTTTAACAAAGGATCTGCCCATTCATTCTTCAGCACCATTGCCCAGGTGCTATGGCTCTTACTGCATTCCTTGATAGCAAGGCTCTTAACCTATAAAGAGAAATGGCAGGAAAGGAATCGGGACATACAAAACGTTGTCAGGACATTGCCAGAGAAAGTCCAAATAGGTGCTCTCTTCTGATCTCAGAGCCTGGCTTTTTCCACAGATATCTGTAGCACAAGCTTGTCCTTACATTAGGTTATTCTTGTTCTTGTATTATTTTGGCAGATTAGCTGCTGATAAACAGTGACTTTTTAGAAGTCTGTCTGCCAAGCTTAAGTAAGAATGAGACCGGAAAGATGCTTCCCTTGCTGAGAGTCCTTCTCCCAGATGAACTTTAATAAGGTATCATAAAGAAAAGGTTTCAGAGTTTTGGGGTTTTTTTGAGAAAGATTACAAGAATCATAGGAAACACTAGAAAACTAAACATTGTTTATCCCTACTGCCCCTATAATTTAACTTTCCACAATAAAAAAGATCCCCAAAATAAGAGTTACTTTCAGATTTAGCTGAAAGTCATGAGATGATCCTGTTTTTACGTTCCTGCGAACATGCAGCTGTGCTACAGTCTGCTTATTCTCTGCAAATTCTTGAAACTATGCTCTGTGCAAATAGAGAGAAGTTTTCAGTCAGCTCTTGTGCTGTATGCAGACTGCTATGGGAAGTATGCTACTTGTCATTAAATACAAAAATGAAGGAACACTAAAGCAGGAATAATTAACTTTATTGTATCTTTTAGGCTTTTTTGTTTACTTCTGTGTTTATTCTTTGTGTATAGAAAAACACTGGCTTAAAAAGTGTCAGTACAGCTTAAGTTACAGGATGATGCTGCTGTTTCCCAGTGAAAAATTACAATTTTTTTAAAAGGTAAACCGGGGTAGAACATTGAAAGGTAAAGCCAAAGGGTTATTTACCTGAGTCGTGTATCTGGGTTTGCTTAAGATTAGAAGTAAATTTTCAAATGCAAAACTGACATGGTACAATAAAATACTATCCTTGCCAAATTTTCCAGTAGAAATACAGAATTTGTTGATTTCTAAACAGCCTAGATAATGCCTGGTAGTTCTTATTACTTTGATATCCTGCAGTAACTCTTACTTAGCAAAATAAACTTTCTTGCTTTTCTTCTCCAATAATAAATTACCATACTGAAAAAACTTGATTTTTCAAGAGATGGTTAGCTTATTTCCTTATATTTAGAACCATTCTACTGTCCCTAAATAAATGTACTGGACTTCAGTTGCAGCTGATAAGTGAGTTTGTTCATTCCGCATGTTGTATATGTTGAATAAACTCTGGAGAATCTCACTAGTTGAAGATGATGATAATTATTTTTCCCTTTCCGGAAAAAAGCATGTGTCCTTCTCAGCCAAAGAACTGGAAGGAATAAACATTATTTTGTCATTTGACTTTTGATTCTTTCCACAGACATAACTCTGAAGGGCGAGGAAAAACTGATGTGAATGCTGTTGATCTAGTGCTTTCTGAAAGCATCACAGGGCTTCTTTACAGTGTCTGGGTAGTATTGTGATGCCTGCTAAGTTCTGGAGTTTGTTGGCTGTGTTTAGGGATGCCAAGAATGTGGCTGCCTCCTCCAGTCCCAGGACTCCCTCCTGCCTGGCAGCTGGTGCCCACCCGGGTACCCAGGTCTCCTCTCGGAGCCGAGGGACGTGGCTGCAGCTTTCCCCAGGGCTGGTTGAACCCGTGTGAGAGCTGAGCAGGTATCCCAGCACCACGCAGGCAGGGCGCTGACGCGGCCGTCGCACAGGTTGCCACGGACCAGGTGCTGCCTTCAACAGCACCCACGTAAACGTAGACATAGCCAAGTCCCCTCCTGCTCATCGTCTGGCAGAGACAGGAGGTCACTAGGCATGGCATGTGTCCAGACACCTGTCCCCACCGCCCCCCATTTTAAACGTGAGCAGCCCAAACTTTTATACCCCTTTCTGCCTGTTCCCCTTTTGTTCCTCCCTGTTCCCTAACCCTTCACAGTCCCTCATCAGATTGCGTAGTCCCACCAATGCCCCCCAGACATCCTGGCTCCCCAGGTGTGCATCCTTATCAAGTTGCAAAGTTCTGTTTGCCTGCAGTTTTTTTGATAGCCCACCAGTTAGTGTATCTGATGAGGTGCGGTTTTTCCTGTCTCTTTCTCCATTACGCTTTCCTGTCAGGTTTGTGTCTATATATTTTGTTCCTTTTCTTATTGTTCCTTTTTGTGCTGAAAAAAGTCATTGCCCAGATACAAAGGAGCAGACACTCTCCTCCCGCACACCCTTACAGATTGTGTTTAGACACATTATAGCAAAGAGTAGCTATGAGGTCTTTGTGAATATACCCTCTCAAGGTTAGATAGCAGCATCAAGAAACTGCTAGCTGCTTCTTGCCACTAAAATTGAGAATTTTAATTTTTTTTTCTTTCTTATCAGATAGCTTTGATTACCAAATAGAAGTGGAGTTGTTCCACCAGTGTGAAAGAGTTAAGAAAATACCCTCCAAACAGATCCTGGCTTTAACAGAGGGGTCTGATGGTACAGTCATTAAAGTAGAGAACATTTTTCTAGAAGTTAGTGGGAGTCTTCAGTGTCTTGGAGAGTTTCACAGGCCTTGGGAAGAAAGCCATAGATTCCCATGAACTACATGATATTTGCTATTTAAATTAAAGCTAAGGTTTTCAGCAGTGTCACTGTATCACCGTGAGTCCTTGAAGACGAGACACAAGGAAAAAACTTACTGTCCTTCTCCATCACTCTGTGCATGCTATGCTATTTCTTTGTTTTGTTTTGTTTTTGAAGTTGTGACATGCATTAGTATACTCTAAACACTCTCGTGTTTATATTTTTCAGGTCAAAAGGTGTGCTATGGTGACTTCAAGCGCTCTTGTTACAAGTTAGCTTATTTCCAGGACTTGTCTAGACGTGTGGGCTTTCAGGAGGCCCGCCAAGCTTGTGAAATTGATGGTGGGGCTTTACTGAGCTTGGAAAGCGAAGCTGAGCAGCAACTGATAGAAAACATGTTACAAAACCTCACGAAATCTGGCTCCGGGATTTCTGATGGTGATTTCTGGATTGGGCTGTGGAGAAGTGGCGATGGACTAGCCACTTCAAGTGCTTGCCCTGACCTCTACCAGTGGGCTGATGGAAGTATTTCACCATTCAGGTAAGCCTGTAAAACTGCTTATTGAGAAAGGTTCATGGAAAGAAACGGAGAGTGAAATGCCTGGCAAGTCAAGTCTTCTGTAAAGAAGCTTGAAGACTTGCTGTCCCATGAAGTTCGTAGCATCCCTCCTTGACTTCCCCAAATAAAGGGAAACTAGCAACCACGGTTTTGAATTTGAAGCTGTAAAAGAATGATAGTGTGGCTTCAGCCTACTATTTTCTTTGCTCCCATCTCATGAATTTGCCTCTATATGGCTTTTGGAGGTTTTTATGTCCCACATAGAGGATTTAGGATGTGGTCTGAAAGCAGGCAGACAAATTCTGCAAGACTCTGGCCACCTCAAATCAGGGAGCCAGCCAGCAATAAATTAATGTGTGTTACTTGGTGTAAATTGTCCAGTTTCTACCCTGTCTTTTGATTAAGCCAAAGGCCAGAGGAGCAGCAGCTCACAAGACTCAGGACAACAGGACAGGTAAGAGTCAGATAGGAAGGAAAACAGGTAACAGCAGTATAGTGTTATTTCTACACGGGTGCTTTGACAGGTCAGATTGCTTTTTACAATCCAGAGATGTGGGAGCTCAGACCCTAAACGCCTTTCACAGAAGAGTTGTGGGAAATGCAGCATATCTTTGAAGAGGATGGGGCCGTTTGGGTTCACGTTTTCATTGATGTAAACTCCTTTCCTTGGCATCCTGAGGAATCTTACCTTCAAAATCTGAAAGTTTTTCTTTATGTACCACTAGAAATTGGTATACAGATGAGCCTTCCTGTGGAAGTGAAGCCTGTGTTGTGATGTATCATCAGCCAACTGCAAACCCTGGCCTGGGAGGGCCATACCTTTATCAGTGGAATGATGATAGATGCAACATGAAGCACAATTTTATCTGCAAGTATGGCCCAGGTAGGTGAAACTAAAGTTATATTTCATGGGTGGGATGCTTTCTTAGAAAAACAATTGCCTCTTGTTTTGTGAGGAAATCTACAAGTGTCTTGTGGCCACTGCATTAGACCTCCTTGTGGTATTGATTCCTTTGGTGTGTGAGTGGCTGAGCTGACATTAACAAGGGATGTAATATATCATGTCTAGTGATAATTTAAATAAACCTACCTGTATCTGATAAGAATGTTTTCAAGGTTAGCTTCACTATCAGCATTCCCAGTTTTAGTTTGATTTATCTCATTCAAGAGTTATTTTATTCTCCACAAAGTGTTTTAAGTGGCCATTTTCTACTTCCCTCGCTCGCTATCAAGTTGGATGACCAAGACATCTCTTGATCCTATGGTAAAAAAAATGCGCTGCCCTTGTAGTTGCAGATCTCTGACATTTTATACCAGTTTATGTGTGGTGGCTGTTTCTAAAAGTTTTGCCTTAAAGAAATAAAATAGAAGTCCAGAACAGCAGGAAGAAAATTCTGCATTCATGCCTGTAGATTTATAGAAATGAAAAGCAGATGCACACTAGTTCAGATGGTGACAGAAAAAGACTCATCTTAGGCAATTTGGCTGTACTTCCAGACATGACATAGGTTCTGTATATGTCAGTAGAGGAAACATTAACTATAAACTAGAAAATTGTGCAAACAGAAAAGGGACGTGAAAAGTAAACTTTCAAGTTGAATAATACAACTTTCAAGTTGTAATAATTTCTACTTTTGGTGGTAGTTACTCTAAAGGAAAACATGTTTTTCAGCAGGATCATGCAAATATTTTCAAATAATTTATGGTATGTCTGCTTTTCAAAAACTAATCTAAAAGTCAGAATGCATATGAAATCCTACTCTTAGCAGCTATTGTCTTAGCTAATTCTGCGGTTTCCTACCTGCTTTCTCTGTGCTCATGATCTAGCAATAATGACACTCTTTGTAGAGATCCACCTGTCTGTAGAGATTCAGGCTGTTTTCTTCCTCCCGTTTTGGTGGATAGCTAGCTTTCTCACTGTCTGATATCTTAGTGGGGATATTAATGGCAATTAATATTGCAAGCAAATATTAAATACTTGGAAGGCTTGATATACGCACACATTTCACCCCCACCTCCCAAATCTGTTCCTGCTTCTAATATTATTGGCTACTATCACAGTGTTATGGTGATCAGTTATCATGGTCACACAGGCCATTCAAGGTACTGTGACGTATACAATTTTATTACTTTTACAACTGATGACAATTATTTTGAAATAAGGTAACAGAATAAAAATGGTTTAAGTTGTTAAAATAACATATTTATGTCAGAAAGTACAAGTTTGATTAAAAGGGTTCAGTTTCAAGTATATTTCATATCTTTAAAACCAAACAAATTTAAGTTAAATATTTATTCTGTAATAGTGAACTACAAGCTTTCTAGTTGTGATGTGATAAAGAATTTGTTTTTTTCTATTACTTTCACCACCTGAAAAAATGCCAAGTATTTGGGATTGGAAGAAAACAAAGTGATAACAGTAATAATGAAGATGATTTTATATTTCTTTCACTATGTAGAAACAGATTACTAGTCTATAATGAGGCATATAGTAAGGCAAACAATATATAGGTAGATTATTATTAGGATTGATATTGCTATGCAGCTAAATACAGTACTGCTGAATTGTAGCTATTTACTTTTTAAGCTGTTGGAATTGTGCTCTTTAGCAAAACACACTCTTCTCCAGCAATGTATTTTTCAACCACCTGAGAAGAAAAGTAGATGCATAAATGTATATAAATAGGTATATGACATTTCTTTCACTGCCTGAAGAAAGTACAACAGTGTTTGTAGGAAAATTACATATGCTATCTAAAAGCTAGTGAGACTTACAAATGACCTTTTTTCTCCCCCAAATCACTGTAATAGCTTCAACGTCAGCCATTTGCAACACAAAATACATCCATTTTACCAGGACAATTGAAGTGCCACATGCATATTGATTTTCACTTTGTTATCTGAGTACATTGTTTTTCACAACTTTCCTGTCTGGTTTGAGTATCTGGTGTATGATACCAGTCGTAGGCCAAAATGCAGAGGTTATAGGTGACCCTGATGAAGCTGCATCTGATTGTATCAGCAGCAAGGTCAGGGCTGCGCTTATTAGGTGGTCTTACTCAAGCAGCAACTACATTTCTGGTAGTCACTTTCATTTTGCTAAGCCCTTTTCATAGTATCTCCCTTGACAGCATTTACTGTTGCAGTGTGCAGTCTGGCTTTAGATCATATTGATCATTCAGTGATCTTAAATTTAATTATAGGTTGGTAATTGCAACCACATTTAGTTCCTGTCCCGCTCCTGTAGGTTTGATTATGCAATCAAATTAAAAACTCATCTCCTTTTCTGCTGTCTAGAGCCAGCAACTCACCTCTTTGTGGTATTTTGATATCTTTCTTTATATATGGTCAAACATACCCAGTTTTTACCAGAGTAGATGAAATAATTGCCTTTGTTCTAGTAGGCTTTATTGCTTCTTCAGTTTCTCCCAGCGTTTTGTGTTTATCAGGACACTTGGAACTGCAGGCCCATAGCACTGCTATATTAATATAATCTTATGATAAATGAATGCTGTTCAAACAATCATGCAGATTCCACTCCTGTGCCCATCCGTTCAATATGAGGTAATTATTTCTATAATCTTTGTAAACTCTTAGTTGTAACAATAGCCATAGGTAAACTTGCAAGCCTCTACGATACTCATAGCTCAAAGCCATGAATTGGTTCTCCAGTTTCTGATGCATTACAAGAAATACGACACTATTGTTCCTCTTTTAATAATTTCACTTCCTTATGTGATGTATTAGGACCCACTGCCCATGATTTGTATTTTAGAGCTGCCTGTTGCAAAACCAAACTACATGAAGCTCACATCTAACCTCAAAAACTTGTGCTGCTTTGTTTTGCTTCATAGCCAACATTCTGTAAGCATTAGTCTGGAAATGTGAATAAGATTTAAGTGTTAATCAAGAACGCTTTCTCTCTTGCATTGTTTTAGGATTGTCTGCACAGATGAAACTTTGAACGTGTTAGGAGTTTTATTCAGCATAAGAAATTACGGGATTTAGTGATTTAGCCAGTAACCTAGCGGAAGCCACCAAGAATTGGAACTAGAATAAACTATAGCCCTCTTCTAAGGAGCAAAAAAGTATGAACTAGAAGTGATTTGACTCTAGTTTGGAAATAGCCTTTGGAAAGAAGATTAAATGCTGAAGAATTAAGCAATTATTCAGAGAATGTATCTATTTCTGTGGTACTGCATGCAAAATAATGAAAGCATCTGTTTATTACACATATTTTTCATTCTTCAACAATTGATTTCAGATATTGATTTAACAGATGTCATCTTAGAAAAAGAATTAGGAGACAGAGCAGAACCAGATTACGGTAAGAAATTTGGAAACATTAAATTGAGTTGCAATGATAAATACGTAAATGTAAGGGTAACTTACAAGAACCTCCAAAATTACTCAGTTTAACAGGCATCGTTTAGAACTGGAACATAGGAAAATTAATCCTTTAGAGAGCAATAACTACAAATATATGGCTGTTGTTCAGATTTCAGCTCATAATTCTTGTTCCAGATGTAATCCCAATTTTGCAATAAAATCCTGTTTACATGTTTATATCCAGCAGTTTAATCAATCCTGAAAAAGTTCATTTCTCCAATATTAATTAAGATGTAATTACTGTTAATTTATTTAACAACATAACAGCCATATTTTGCACTCACTATTTTCCTCAAATGTCTGATATTCTTTTCAGGTATTTTTCCAACGGTGCCAGCAGGAAATCCTCGTGACACAAGCAAACCAGAAGATCAGTATCATGTTATTGCTACTGAAACAGGTAATGTGTTCATATGAATTCAGTGTTCTGGTAAAAGTATTAACAGTGAACTCAGTTAAATTAATCTTTAACAATTTCCATTATTGTCAGTGGGAGGAAGCAGTCTATTTCCCCAGGAAGTGCCCTGAAAAAGTATACTTTCGAATAACATTTCAAGAGTTTTAGTCAGTCCTCTTTGTAACTGTGGAAACAAATTATTTCCATGTCTCCCCAAACTTTGATCCAAATCTACAGTTTAGCAGTCCTTGAAATCTGCACCGTTCTCACTGACCCTGGTGAGTCTCTGTCATGACGCAAGATTTCACCAGCGTTCACCCAGCTGTGGAGCATCTCCTTCTAGGCTGTGTAACCAGTGCCTTGCCTCTCTCCTCCTCCTCCTGACCTCTTCCCCAACACATGTAGCAAGCATATATTATCTCTTATAGCTGATACCTGGGGCTCTCAAACAAAACGAATCTTTCCTAACTGATAGGGCGTGAATTTTGCAGTTATCTGCAGAATAAGCATTGTGCCATAGCTCCCTCAAGTACTGCGTGTTTTAAGGAACAGTTAAAGTTAAGTAAAGTTAACGAGTTGTTAAATGCTTTGTTGAGGTTTCTAGCAGAGATGGCTCTTGATATTTAGAAAATGGATACCCACTGCCTCAGGGCTTTCTGTAATGCTCCTAGCTACTTCATTTCACAACTTATGTCCTGAACAGAGTCCTGGGGTTCATGAAGTGTTGTAACATGACCTTAATTCAAAGAATTGAACATCTCTGAGGAGCAATTCAGGATCTTACAAGATTACAGCATGGGGTTACGGAAAGCTGGTGTCCCTTTCCATGCTTGTTGGCTGGATTTGAGCCATTTTCCTAACTGATATTCCCATTGTTTGTAACTCCAGAAGAATTGATATACTGATGAACTGTATTTTAAAATCAATAATATTATTTATAGAAACAATGTGAAGACTCTGTATCTAAAACTTGTAAAGAAACCCAACCTGAATATTCACATTTATTCTTGCTACTGAAAATATGCTCAAAAGAGGACAGTGGGTAAGAAAGTCACCACAATTTGCATGTTACATTTGTACTGTTATTAACCAGGGACATATAGTTACTGAAAAACAGGCAGACCCTTTCTGGAAGTTGTAGACCCCATCCTCTTTTCTAGGCAGGTAATAGTCTCAGCTTGTACCATTTCCTGCTCCTTTTGCCCAGAGAGCTGCAGGGGAGCGCCATTAGCTCTCTCCTCATTTGTCAAGGACAGTGTACCTTTGTCTTTTAAGGGGAATGTGGACACAAGAGCAGGATTTATTCCTCTTGTGGTCCTGCATGGGTGGGAATCCAACATGCAAGTGCAACCGAGTAAACAGGTTATATGGACTGTAAAAATAATAGGCTGTGAAATGTGCTCTCTTTAAATATTTGAATTTTCAATTAAAAAATTGGAGATCTGTCATTGATGCACATAGGAAATCTCAGAATTTAAGTCCTTAAGATATGTTTTGCACATTGCTGGAGAACTACTATTTTCTTCTTGATATGCCTGAGTCATCCTTTTGGAGCTCTTCCTATAGAAGGAATGTATAAATGTTCTTTTGTGTAAATTAATGTATCTCTGATATTTTGCTCTGGATTTTTACTCACGTGGTTGAGTATTTCAACATGGGAGACATTAACAAGAACTTTTTGTCTTGTAGGTATAATTCCAAATCTAATTTATGTTGTGATACCCACTATACCACTACTGCTGTTGATACTGGTGGCTTTTGGGACTTGCTGTTTCCAGATGCTTCATAAAAGGTAAAATATACTTATCCAAAATGATTTTATAATGCAGAATTCATGTTTCCATTGACAAGCTATTCATACTGGAAGACTGCTTACATCTGTCCCCATATATGCAAATAAACATTCTTTTCATCTATTAACATCCAGGCAGTTTACAGCTGAACATTCACCATCAGGCTTTTCCACAATGCACCGAAATAGTTCCAGGTGTCTCCAAGTATATTGCCACTAGGACTTTGTCTGTTTCTGAAGAAGACGCTTGATGATAGGCTGAACTAGTGGCAGCACTTTTACTTCACCCCTTCCATCATGACTGCCACCTATACAGCATCTGGGCTTTGGGGGATAATACTGGGGTTCACACTAGTAGAGGGCAAACTCAAGGACTCGCCTCAGTTTCTGACAAAAAGTGCAGTTTGTTCCAAGGATGAACCTGAGGGGTCAGCAGCAGTTTAATGCTGTTTCAGTGCACATCTTATACATACAACAGATGAGCCACTGGAGCAGATAAATTGAAAACAAAAAGCAAAACCATGTTTTGAGCCACATACCAGTGCAACTCTTTTGTACATCATGTATCTGTCAAAGAAGATGCATAAAGTAAATAGACGTGTATGTAGATGTAGTGTCACAGTTGTATTATTATGCAAATAGGAAACATTTCAACCTATGAAACATGATATGTTTTGATCCAGGCTTTAAAACTCTTTGGACTCTTTATCCTTCTCAAAATGTGATACACCAAGATATGGCAACGTATAAATTTTTTTTTTCCCCTCAATTAATCTTTCTGAAAATTTCAAGGATATCTTTCATTCTGCAGGTTTTTTCGGGAAGCATTCTCAAGTTAATGTAATCCAGAGCAGTTTAAACTACAATATGTTTTATGGATAAACACTATTTTGGTAACAACCCAGTAATAAACAGATTCACAAGCTGTTATCCCTCTTGAAGAGCAGGATTACTAGTAAGGAATGTGACATCACTGTATCAGGAAATCAGAAAAAAAATTTCTTCCTTACTTTTAGTCTTTATTTTTTTGTGATTTTTATTTAGCATTTTCTACAAATAGCTGAAATACCTTATTTCAAGTGAGAAAATACTCCAAATGTCAAGTCTGCTTATATCTGTATGACTGAGTGTACACCGATGTTCACAGCACTCCTTAGTGATGTGTCTCATTGAAACAAGTGAACATAAAGAAAAGATATTATGAGGTTTGCATCGTAAACTAGACTGTGTCTTTGTTATGCACTTTCCTATAAAGAAAAGGAAAATGTGCATTTTCCAACCTGTCTTATCGCAGGCAAATTCATTGTTGTGAAAGGTTGTATCCAAAGCTCCGTGCTCGGGCAGTAGAAGGTTGGAAACGCAAAGCAAAAAGAGTAATAAGGGAATCATATGTATAACAGTAGCCATTACATAAGTAATCTAAATCTGGAACCCTTATTACAATGGACCTGGATTTCTTGGTAAGTATGACATACGTGTTCATACCTTCTCTAGCAGCTCTTTCTCTCCCCAGAAAAGGTTCTTCACCTCTTGAATACCCCTGGGAAAACAATGAGAGATTCGTGGCCCACTGAAATCAATAGAAACAGTAGTTTTGTCTTCAGTGGGCTTTGATCAGGCCTTTGATGCTATAGCAGTTCATCCAGAAGTAATTAATCTGAACTTCCAAGATTTAAAAATTGCATGGCACAGATACTGGAAATTCAGCTTGGAAGATTGTGCTTTTTCTCTTAGCTGTTTAGCTTGGTAGATTAAATGATGCTACAAACAGGGAGAAAATGGATTTGAATCAAAACAGATTTTTTTTTCAGAATGTTCATTTTGCATTGCACCAAAGCTTTTAATTAAAGAAAATAAGACAAATTTTCTTTAAAATTCATTTAAATCAAAAGAGGATATTCTGGTATCACCAAAAATGAAGTATTTTCTTATTTATCTTTTGAAACAGAACTTTGTTTTTATAAAATGTTTCCCCATCTATTTTCAGTTATACTTCCACATATGACCTATCTTGTGAATCATTTTGGTTCATCACAAGTTCTGCAGTTCTTGGGTAAAAAGTGGTAAAATTACCTCAGTTCTTGGGTAAAAAGCAAATCAAAAAAAGAGGCAACCCCTTGAATTGATCATCTGGACACTGTAGAGCTTTAGGAAAGGGATTCTGTCCTGCTGGGGAAGGAGGGATCCCCAACTTTCCAAATGAACCTGACTTCTCATTCTTTTTTAGGCTTCCACACCATGGTGACCTTTCCTCTGAAAGCCACAATCCATGGCCAACCAGGACATGCCTAGCTTGAAAGGTCATGACTAATTTTGCCTGGCGTTGGGCTCTTAAAGGGTAGTAATAAGGCAAAGCAAAACATCTTCCCTGTAGCTACTAGAAATGATCAGCTCATTCATGCTTAGATGCTCTCCCTTTCATTTCTTCCAGGGAAGCAAGGAGACACTGCTTCAAAGACCCATCTCCATTATCATCTGAATGCCTTGCAGAAAGTTTAAATTCCAACCTGGTATATTTCTGTTTCTATGATTGCATTTGATGGTCAAAACAGCGATATGCTCAAGCTATTTATTGCATCTTCCTTACCTCTCTTACTAAAATCTGTTTCCTGAACCAGATGTATAGCTGTTGAAAATCAGCGTAGGTTCGCTGAAGATAAGCTCATTTTCTACAGCTAAAGTTCTGATCCAAGGTATTTAGAAATTGTTCCTGCTGTGTGGCAAGGACTCTCCATTCAAAGAATTTCATCATTAATTTACAAAATATGCCTGATTTTGCTGGATTAATGTGGAGAGAAGTAGTGAGTGCGTTTCTTAAAGAAGTGCTGAAACTACTTGATTCATTGCAATTGCTTTGTTTATAGCATTGTGGCCTGATCTAAAGTCCACTGAACCAGTGGGAGTCTTTTCAGTTACTCCAATGGGCTCAGTACATAATGCATTACTTTGTCGGACTTCAGAGGTAAGTCTGGAGGGACTAAAAACTACTGTACCATCCAGCTCCCTCCAAGTACATTTAAAATCAATTCAGACTGACTTACATTTACACACCAGGAAGGGAGTAAAATGTATAGGACTGTTGGGATCTTGGCTCTCAGGTTTCCAACTTACAGAATTATATAGGGCCACTTCTCCTCCTCTGGGTTTTGCTTAATTGGAAGAAACATCAATATGCAATATTCTGGCCAGAGGCTAAAACATTTTGATTGAAATGCAGCTGCAGTGGCTCATGAAGTGCCCTTTCTTTTCAGTAGACTGCAGTGCACTGTCATCTGCCATCTAAGTGAGGGAAACTGGCGCCTTGTGGCGGTCGTAGCAGAGATGCTAGTCATGTGAAAAGACTGGCTTCTCCTTACAGGGTACCTCAGGGCTCCCTGTAAAGATTAGAGTGAACTTTTTTGCAGTGTTGCAGGGCAAGTTCTTTTGGAGCCAGTTTTATCTTTTTTATTAAAAAAACCCCACAAACACAAAAGCTACTATGGACAGTTTTGACTGAAAACTAGGCCTAAGGAAGCTTTCTACCAGTCATTCATTGCTAGGACTCTGATTCATGTGCCATTACTTCATTAGAAGTTAGGTCAAGCCCTGAAGGGAAGAGGTTTTCTGGCGTAGCAGTACACGCTGGCATGCGTTAGTGTACCGCGGTCACAGGGTTGCAGCTCCAGGACGCGCGTGGGCAGGGTTGCGGTGGCTCCCCTGGGTGGGTGGGCTGCACCCTGAGCACGTTGGACGTCGGCTCGGGGGCACGCGTGTTCCCATCTCCCGTAAGTGCCGCCCAGACAAGGGAAGCGCCCAGCCTCCCACCACCCTGCTCAAACAGTGTCCACAGCCCTCCCTGAAAAGACCACTCTGTATGAGCAGGTGTGGACAAACGTGAACTGAAAAAAAAAAGACCGAAAAACGGGCCAAGTCAGTTCATTGAAGGAGCGCTGGTGAGCAGGGTGGTCTGGTAACAGTTGCTTACCTCGACGCATCGCTGCGGTGCTATGCTTGGTGCAGCATGGGCACAACCTTTGTGTGGATGGGGAACCTATGCTATGAGAGCAACAAAGATGGCCTTCAAAGAGGGGATGAAATACCCAGCTCTGATCACAAGCCTGAATCAGGACTGCTAAGGCACACATGCACTGAAAATAGTTTATATTTTTATTTTGCAGTAAAGGAAGAACAAAAACCAGTCCAAACCAGTCCACATTATGGATTTCAAAGACGCCTAGGAAGGACAGTAGCATGGAGGTATAATGATTCACTGACTGAAAACAAAGCAAACCCAACATTATGCAGTCAGGCTGTATTATAATGTCGTCAAAGAACATTAGCTTGGAATGGCTTGAAAATGCAAAGGATCTACAAGAATGAACTGTAAGCTCCCCCTTGAGGCAAATGTTCAGATCATTTTTATATAATGTTGGATTATTAATTCAGTAACAAAATATGCCATGCTAAATAAAGGGTATGTGTTTATTTTGCTAAGAGATGTAAGTTAGCTAGTTGTGAGCAATGAAATGAACGGAGCATCTGAAGTTTTTATGGGGAAATATCTACAATGTACATCAGTTTTAAGACTGTTTGTAGTTAAACAAACCCTCTTTGTTTCCTTTAGTCTCTCATGCATTGTAACCTAGTTGATGTACTGTAAATGGAACTGACAATTTTACAGTGTAACAATTATTTATCTTTGCATAAATGTTTGATACAAAATATTTGTTTAGTATTTATTTGCACACTTAACACAAATTATCCTCAGGCACACAAATTATTTTATTAAATATTAATGTTCACTGGCAGAGATAGCTACATTGTTGTGACATCAATCTGATGCAGCAAAATTCAAGGATTCATAAAAGACATTTGATATCATATAATGAATCCACTTTGCCAGGTAATGACCATAACTTTTTGCAATATTGGTCCAAGGTCAACATAAATAACTTGGCAAGCGATACCTCATTAATGAGGTGTCCTTTGAAGGCAGCCATTAGTTGTTATTTAAGTAAAATATTTTTTTACTTTTTCTGAGGAAAAAAATAATATCACAATGGACAACAGTTTAAGACTAAAATTACTTGTTTCAGTAAGTCTGTGTAAAAAAGACACTAAAGATCATTTAAATATAGGTAATAGTTTGTTAGGAATAGTGTAACATTGGATCAAAAAGAAGACAAATGGCTTTTCTTGGAAGTGGCACTAGTAGGTCGATCCCAACATTACTCAGACTATTAGCTAGAAAAGCTAATTTAGAGGTAACCCTGATGCATTTAAAGTCTTCTTTTAGAGTTGTTATTAACATCATTAATGTCCATTCTCTTTGGTTCCTTTCTGTGCCATAAGAATGGTTTTACCAGTCATTAGGGGCAGAACTTGGGGTGGTGCAATAGCACTCTGGCTGATCTGTTGGTGACAGTCTGGTGCTGAAAGCAGAAAGGGGTTTGCTGCAGTTGCAGCAAGAGTTCAAGAGCACAAGTTCAAGCTAGTTGGCTTTATATTAACACAGACTCAAAACTACCGCTGGGTAGAAGTTGGGGAGAGATGGACAGAAAGAAAGTATATTACTCTTTGGGTTGCCTGTACTGTGCTAACTGATGTTGACCACAGCTTTGAGTTCAGAGACCAATGTGTATCAATTCTTCTGAGTAAAGAAAAAACATTTGAAACTTCAGTATCACTAATTGTGCAATACTATTGCTGAGGTACTATTGGAAGCACTTAAAGTTGCTGTTAAGCTTTGGTTTTACTTCCTCTTTGAAGAAGCCTTCTGTAGTTCAGACTAAGTATTGCTATTCCTACTTAAAATATTCTGTAGTTTTTCCAGTCGGTCACAACTGGTTTCTCTGCTCAGTCTGTTACTTCGATTTCCTTTGTAGTGATTGCAAATAGAGAAAAATACTATGATCCTGCATGATCACCAAGACCAGAATTGTTTTCCTCCTGACTTAAGTATTGCTTAACTCAACTGGCGGCAAGAGATTCCTCTTTCTTGTGAACAGTTGTGGTAAAAAGAACTTAGTTCTTTTTTATAGTCTTGAAGGATTAACTCCCTTTAACTTAAAGATTAACTATTTTTACATACTTTGAGCTTCCAAAGGATCTGTAAAGGTGTAGCAACTGATATTATGAATAATATGGCAGAAGTGATTTCCATGCAGCAATTAGGAGAATGCAAATACCGTCAGATGTCTTTCTTACAAGGTGAAGGCAATTGCTGGGCAGGTATCAGCGTGGACCAGTCTTAAACTCTGTGTGAAGGAAGAATGGAAAGTGGCATGCAATGCTTTTATTATAATGTACTCAGATTCTATATGTAAATAAGGATTATTGATTATTGGGATAAAATACTTCTATACCATTTCACCTGCTTAGGGGAAGGAAATATAGTTTTCTTCCATGTATTTCCTTCACTTAGGATGTTGTTTCTAGATACCACGTAAACTCTAAAGAAACATAAGAATCTTATGTAGAAGACTGCAAACAGTGCACAGATTAAACTTAGAGTCTCATGACTCCCACCTTTAAGTTGGTGATTCTTTTCCATGCAAAACATACAAACCCCTTACATAGACAAATTATTTAATCTTTATTTCCTTTCTTTCCATGCACAAAAGGGAGATAGGAGTAAGGGTAAAAGAGGAAGGAGGGAAAGATAGGTGTGTTGCATTCTTGCAGAAAGAATACCTAGAAATTAGAATTTATGGTGATATTTCCTTTGGATTTTGTTGGGGCTTAGAGAATCCAGAAAAACAGCAACAGGTATTTATGTGACATGGGCCATTAGTGGCAACAGAATTGCTATTTAAAAAAGAAAACCAAAGCCCATAACAAAAAATCACCAACCCTCTCTGTCCTTCATATTCACATAAAAATCTACAGAATGGAGAAAGGAAAGTGATTTCCAATTTCAGCTGACAGAGTTCATCAACTAGAACCACTTTGTATAAGCTTGTTGGCTCACAGTGACCATGTTCCCTTCTGCTCACTGCCTCTCTAAATCTCTTCCAAAAGGCAGCAGTAAGGTGAGGCGAGGAACTGAAGGATGAACAGGAAACCTTAGCTGGTCCTCAGATGGATGGCATGGCTTCAGTTTGGCATTTTACAAACATTATACTCCCACAACCCCTATTTTCCCCAGGGAATAGATTTTTTTTTCTTTTTCCATAGTGATCTTGGCCTTTTGCAAGCAAGAAGCATCTGAGAGACAAAGCTCTTGTTTCCTTCTTTAATCTTTTAACCTTTTTTTTTTTTTTTTTTTTCCGAGGGCAAGCAAGTGTAAGTCAGCATCAAGCTTCCACCCTCTATTTCAAAGCACCATGGAACTGTGACTCAATTGAAAATAATCCATGCTGCCCACTTGTTTTAACATAGTAACAACCGGTTTCTTCACATGTTAATATGCAGGCAACTGAAGTAATGGCTGCGGAATGAAGGCAAGAACGTGGTCAACTAAGGTTATATTAGTTTTATCTAGACATAAATTAGTCGAAATAAAGTGTTTATTTTTAATTATATTAATCTATGTTATATATCTGTTCCTATACCAGAGTTTGCAATAGGAATTTTTTTAGTCTGAGGGAATGGTTTATTAATGTGTACCTCAAAATACCTCTATGCTTTGCATTTTGGGAAGCAAAAAATACACATACATAAGAGTACTTTACTGTATTTCTGGGAAGCACATTTTCTAGTGACTGGATCTGCTTTGTAGTTGGCTCTTGTATTTCATTAACAGACTGAAACACCATTTACAATAGTGATGTATGGTGAATAATGCAGAAATCATGTCACATTTTAATTAAGCATTTTAATGTGATTGCTTCATCCGAATCAATTTATACTGTTAGCAGAATGCACTTTATTTTCAGTGGCTGTTTTCAAGTGAAGGAGAGTAACAGGAGCAGCGGTAGTCCACTAGGATTTGCAGCTTTAACATTTTAATGCTAAAAACTGTGTAGTTTATATGAAAGAGGGTGTCTAAAACACCTTTTATCTTCTCTCTGGCTTAATTACATCTGTCTGTGTTCCTTGTGGTCACAAATGTATGTATAAAACTAAATCTTGTGGTCTGAACCTAGTCCTCTAATGCTTATGAAGACCTGAAAACAGTTTGGAAGTTGATATTTTTTATCAGTGACTGCCAACCTGTGTTTGTAAGCTGCCCTTGTACCTGGAGCACTTCATATCCGCACACTGAGTGCGGGAGCTCCTTACAAAAATCATACAGCTGTGTGTATGTGTGTAGATACACATACACAGTAAGTTAGAATGCATTTTGTATTTTCATGCAGTACTCTGGAATTAAAAAAAAATATTAAATTCCTACACTAGGCTGAAAACAGAAATAAAGGAAAAGCATCATATTACACTAACATTAAGACACCATTGATTTTAAGGCATTTAAATAAATAGATAATTATATTTTAATAGAAACCTATTTAGAAAAGAGCTCGAGGATAAAACCCTCTTATTTTCTTCATATTCTTTCCCATTTAGAATGCTGTAACAAGCTATCGTGATAATTTTAATGCAAGGCACAAAATCGGTATTACAAGTAGATAATTATATTTTAATAGAAACCTATTTAGAAAAGAGCTCAAGAGGATAAAACCCTCTTTTTTTCTTTTTATTCTTTCCCATTTAGAATGCTGTAACAAGCTATCATGATAATTTTAATACAAAGCACAAAATCGGTATTAAAAGTCACCAGTACAGAAAAAACATGTAATATATCAAAGGACTCCTATTACTTTTTATTCACCAGGAATAGCCGATACTCATTATTGTCAGATGTTTTTAAAACCATTACTTTTTATGAGGAAGTTGCAGTATTGTGAGTCTGTGCTTGGGTGTACACAAGCACGTATCTGTAATTGCTTGAATAATTGCCAAAACACTTGCCTTCAGAGAAAACTAAAAAGCTATATTCAATCCTTATTTAACTCTATTAATTCCAAACAAATCACACAGGAGAGAACTTTTGGCTTACATTCAGTTTATTCATTAGAAAGCAGAATGATACATGATCAGCCTTTATGCACAATCCATAAACCTCATTCCAGGGCTTTTTGTAATAGACAAGACAGAATTCCCATAAGCCCAGTTTAAACCAATAACATATACCTTCATTTTGATATGTGGTGAGATTACTGAGAAGAGTTGACTATGCATTGAAATGAAAATGCACATTGAAAAATACAGTGTAGAAACATAAAAACACTGAAATTGACCTGAAATTAATAATTTAGACCATTTTTCAAGAAAACATTTGCAAACTTTCCTTTTTGTTCTTTTTTTTTTTTTTTTTTTTTTTTTACTCCCAATGCTTTGTGAAGCCCTCCACTATGTATTTAAAGCACTGGTGTTCAGAGTAACTGTTTCCCCATGGTCTCATATAAAAGAAAAAGTAAAAAAATGATAAAACTATTTATTAACAAAACCACAGCGTCTGTTTTGAAATAGTGCTCTCAATTGGTAATGGAGTTCTCAATTATTAATATTTTCCTCCCCAAAATTTAAATATTTATTCAGTTTCTCTAACTGTGAGATTGGAATGCCAGTCTGGTTTACGTCATTATACAATGGCTTACGTTCAACCTTTAAATTCTATTTCTATCATTAAAAAATATCAAGCTAATAGATGATTTTTTTGATCCAGTCCACAAACATGGTGACTCGAACATACACTCCTGGTCGTTTGGGAAGTGCACACTCGTAGCCAAATGATGTTACACCAACCAAAAACCATGTATTACCATCTTCAAATGTCAGAGGACCACCTGAATCTCCCTGCAATATGAAAGTCAAAAGTTAAAAGTGACAGTGTCAACTCTGAAGCAGAACCTGTTTATGATGTTTTGTTTGTGTTGATCCCTACTCATAGACATTGTATCTCTATATGTCTTGGGCACCAGAAGGGAGATAAATATGCATTCTTCCATGTGGAAAAATTCTTGAGAGAATCCATTTCCTTTCTTTCTGATTTTTTTTTTTTTTTTAAAGGATGTGATCTTAAGCTCTTACCAGTCTTTCAATACAGGACTGGCTTTCAAACGATTTTTTTGTTTATTAATTACTTTTACATTTAGCCCTTCCTCTTTCACAAAGCCTGGGTAAATGTGTAGGATTATTTTTTAGTTGACTCTATTCAGACAATATGCAGTGCTATTTTCAGTCACCCCAGAGTTTCTGCAATTTCAAATTTAGAGAAAAAGATGGCAGGCTTGCCAGAAGAGGTGTCATTTTCTCACAGCTCCTTCCCAATAGCTTAGCAGGTGTAGCATTGCAATAGAGTGTGGGAGACCAAATTTGATTCATCCCACAGCCTGAGTGGGGGACGAGTCAGCCATGAGTGTCTTGTTTTGATGAGAAAGAAAACAATGGCTATTCTTTCTTGTCTGTTGAATTAGTTGAACCAGTATTATTTTTGTCTTCTCAGGGCCCTCTGAATGGTTCTTTAAGGGAGAGTTCTGCAAGTACTTGGCCATTAAAATACTTCTGCCCATAACTCTAGAACATCCTCAAAAGTTCAAAGGCTGTAACAGCAGCCTAAAGGCTAAAGCACTATCAAGACTCAATTGTTTGTCTTTGCTCATGGTTGAACGGTCATTGATCACAACGCTGGTCACTTGTACTTTATGTCAGCCTATGGTGCTACACTGCTTTTTTTTCAGTATGAGGTTCAGAAGGCAACAAGGAAAGAGGAAAGCGACAGAGGCTGAAGGAATGACATTTAAAATTAGGCTTGCATACAGTCCTCCTTCTAGACTAAACTAGCCAAACTCACTGCACCTCATGAAGGCTTAGGTTGTGAGGGCAAGGCAAGAGCAATTACGTGAGAGGGCTCCTCATCAGACTTGAGGAGAACCAGCCAGTCTCCGTGCCACAGACTCCATATCGCTGGAAGAAAAAATATGAGATGGCCAACTCTGACTACAGGTCCTCAAAGAGAAACAATATGTTACAAGCAGAGCTGGAATGGATAAAAACTAGATACCCAGGAAGCAGCATATGAGATCAATGCAGAGAGGCAACCTCTCCAAAATACTGTGGCATCCACTTATAAAAGACTCCAGAGTCTACAGATTCTGGGAAAAAGCATTATTGCTCGCTCTCTCTTTCCATGCATGAACCAATTCTGAGACTTCAATCTATTTGGTATTTATTTCTCTGTACTCTGCTTTTCCCTAAGCACATCTCTCTTTCCTTCATGGAATTATTCAGCAGTAATTATTCAAAGCTTAGTGCAGAAAATTTCCAGTCCTCATATTTATCTTCCTCCATGGTTGTTTATGTCAAGTTGTTACAAATAGATTTTTATCTTTTCAACTCGTATCCTGATAAAGTATTAAATGGGATTCGAAATTACATTCATGGATAGTGACTGTCCTGGTTTTCATGATTGGAGGATCAGGGAGCATTTTATTCAGTAATTAGATGTGCTGTATGCTAGCAGTGGAAATGAGCCACTTGTACTTACCTGACAGGAATCTACTCCTCCGATGTCATATCCCGCACAGATCATATTCTCAGTAATACTATATTCTGGCATCTGTTGTTGGCATTTTTCATTTGAAATGAGAGGAACCTCTGCTTCTTGCAGTATATCTGAAGTGGGACCTGATGAAAATACAAAGTACGTTTACCCGCTGTAAATAAATATCCGATGTAATACCTCCCACTCAGAACACCGATGGTTTTGTTCCTTTTCCAGCATGCTGGGCATGCTACCGAGCAGCAGGAAGCCCTTCCTCACCACTGTATTATTCAGGCTTCTACCCTTGTATCACAGTCGCTGATTAAACGGTGCTCGTTAACTGAATCCTGTCTTTCATTTGTGTAATGGGACTGAATTTGGTTATAATTAAATCAAGATTACTAAAATCGATGACTACGAACTCACTGTGGGGAGATCTAAGGGATAATTAAGGGCTTAGGAGCTTGGATTGTCCAATGTTTCCTTACTATTAATTGTGTAACTTTGATTGACTATTTCAAGTTTATATAAAAAGTACTGTTACTAATTCCTACCCAAAATTTTAAATGCAATTTTATTCTGAAAATATAGAAGCAAATTTGTACAAGTAACTGTGGAAGTGAAATGGCACTTTTATTATTTCACAGAGACTCCAAATCTGGAGCATGTGATATACAAACAGAACATACATTTCACACTACGGTTAGTATGCTTGACTTCTGGGGAAAATCATTTGCACGTTGTCAGAAAGACTAATCTTCCTCCTCCCCCACTCAATATCTGGAAATAAGATGTACATATTTCGTATTGAGAAAAGCAGTTATCGTAACTTCTAAGGAGATGCAATAAGTTTTTTCATAATTTAATGATCTTAGATATGTTTATTTTTTAATAAATATGTTATAACTCTATTACTTTGCTTTAGAGAAGGAACAGTGGAGGGAGATAATTCCCAAATTTTCATATGGAGGATTACCCCTCTAAACTATTCGACCTTAACAAACCCTTGGAATCAGAGCAAGCTTTCCCTCTCAGCTTCATGCCTGTCATAACTTTCCAAGCGGATGACCCACCTTCATTGACAATACTACCCCAGCCAGCAATGGAACAGTTAATTCCTGGTAAAAACTGTTGATTTTTTTCTGGTAAGCAGATAGGTTGTATGTAATCTGTGAATGAGAAACAAGCGATCAGCCTCTTCCTTGTATTCAGGTTTTTATGAAGTCACATAAGAAAATGTTCATTAATTCAAACCCACTTTTGTGGCAAGGAAGTACTGGACTGACTCCAGAATGATTAGGTTGTAAAAGATGTACAGCCACCCCATCAGCCTCATATGCTTAACACAATTAGAGGTTTGCACAATAGGGTAAATCTGTTTTATGGGAAAATAACAGCTCACCTGTATATTGCACTTTGTATTGAAGGTGCATGAGAGCAATATCACTATCTTTTGTACGCTTCATGTAATGAGGATTTATAATTATTTGATCGATGTTTTGAACTACCGTTGAAAGCTGTGTTATATCTGATTGGTCATACAAGCCAAGAACTGCTTTCCATTGAGATGGTTTTAATTGCCTCCTAGAAGTTGTAAGGAATACTCACAGTTATGAATGATTAATGAAAGTTTTGAAAAATATGTTAGGTAAAATGCTAATCTTTAACCTCATGTTAATTCATAGCACTTGCACATTTTGTCAAAATAAATAGAATGTAGTGGATGTGCTTACAATTTTGTGATAGTAATACTATCTGAAACATCCACACTGTAGAAGTATGTGGTTGATTTTTTACGTTAAGTTTACAATGCATTATTTATAAAGAATTAATGAGACAGTCGTCCAGAGGAAGAAAATACATTAACTAAATTATTATGGCTTTTTAAACACTGTGAAGAATACTGCTGACTGCCCACCAGGCAATTAATATCCGTCCCAGTTAGAAAATTATTACAGAATATCTAAAGAATATAGGTCTACAATGTCATTGGAAATGCTGCAGCTCATAAACTCAGAAAATTGGTCTCTTAATTTTTTAATCTAAATCGAGAAAGATATGCTAAAACAAAATATGACAAAATCTGCATTTTTTGCTGAGCTACGCATGCTGGTTTGAGGCTGTATTTTAAGTTAGAATTATTTTCTATTTTTTAATCAACCAGTTCATAGTTTCAAAAATATGTTTTCAGCCTGATTGTTGTGCTCATTTGTTTTCTGCAGATCTTTTAGCTTGACATCAAGAGGTTATCTTGTTCTAAACTAGGAGTGTTTAAGTTAAATGTTCAGAATTAAGGTGTGAAACTGCAAGCTCCCATTTAGGAAAATTCCAGCAAAATCAAGATGATAAAATGAGATTTAAGTGAAAATAGAAAGGAGATTTAAGTGAAAAGGAAATACCAAGACAGGTATGGATTTATTGTGTGAAAACTAAGGCAGATTGATCCTTCTCATTTCAGTGTCTTTGTGTGGAATATAGCTCCTGTCATGCAATGAGGCAGCTTTAATGTATTGGCATAGTCTCCACTGCCTTACTACTTAGCTATTTATAATGAAAGCCCTACTGCAATTTTGAATATTAATGTTTCTTCTTTTGCCATTCCAGTTTCTAGGTGTCTTCTACAGCGCTTATTTTTATTATAGATGTTATGGAAGCAAACCCTGGAAAATATTTAAATATGCATTATTTCTTTGAACGGTACAAATAACACCATCTAGAGGATATCCAATATTGCCTAATCAATGCACATAAATCAAGATTCATTCCAATGATGCACAATAAGTCTCGATCAATCTATGATAATATACAGGAGGAACAGACAACACTGAGTTTACCTTTATGAGGTATGGTGTCATCCTTTATACCACTGGCAGACACTCAACTAATTAATGGAGGCCCACGTTAATTACAGGTTAAGTGCAAATGCTCAGTATTAATACCATATATTTAAAGTGCAATTCCTCATTGTTCAGAAAATGCAGCTTAGTTTCCATGAATCTCTGCTTTAAAGTAAGGACTGAGGGTTGAGCAGAAAGTAAAGGAGCCTTAAGCTGAGCCCACAAGTGATTCAAAACACAGTAATTAAACAGTGAGCTAATTGTTACTTTTTTATATCAGTGTCACAAATTATTCATAATCTGATGCCTCCTTAGTGAACCTGTACATAAAACAAGTGTTTCATCATCATTAAAATCAAAAAGAAAAGACATGGCATGTATGTGGTGTGGCCATCTCAGCTAGTTGGAAAGATGCCCTGGAGTCACCGGAGAGAAAGAGGCACTTGTGAATTTATATTAATTTCATTCTAAAGTAAACATCTAGAAACCCTGTAAAAAGTACCAGTCCCCAGTGATTTCAGTATGATCCTTCAAAAGTGTGTTTTGCCCTATACAGGATTGGTCGATGGCTCAGGTCATACTTCAACCCAGCTTTACTGACAACTCTCCACCATTTGGATACTTGCATGTTGTGGCAGTATCAGAATGTGTTAGCTTGTGAGTGCAGTGACCATTACCCATATACACAGTGTGCTGCTGTCACCAGCCATTCATCACTGACAAGGGAAGCTCCACAAACAGGTCTGGAATTAAAATGGAGTGAAACTATCCAAGGCCAAGCCTCTCTTCTGGCATCACTTCCACCTACGATCTTTGTTTGATTGTTCTCAGTTAGCAGGTGTTTTCCACAGGCTAAAATAAAATAAAAATTAATTTTAAAAAAAAAAATTGTAGATTTTTAGGGTGATATAGCATCTTTTATTAGACTAGCTAATATTCTTGGAAAAATAGGCTTTGCAGTATCTGAACTGCTATTCTGAAATACTATTACTGTGGAAAAAGGTTTGGTGTTTTATAGCTGAAATCAAGATATCACTTTATAACTGGGATTTAGATGTGTTTTTTCCTCACACCTTCTGGATTTTTTATATATGTGTTTTCAGTATAGACCCATCTCTAGTGTATACTTAACTCTGAGAACAAGTGAAGACTGTAAATTTTCCTGTGTTTATATTATTACGAGTCTAGCTTTTATAGTCCATTCCCTAACCTTTCAATTCAAACTATAAACATTAGGCTTTATGAACTGAACGATTTGTTTTTTTATGAACTGAACGATTTGATTTCTGTGTGAAATATTCCCAGGGTATGAGTACTTACATTTAATGTTACATTGCAGATGAACCACCAGGTTGTTCAAACAGTGTTCTCTAGAATGAAAGTGCAATTAAATCACAAGTATATGCACACCAGGTAACACTAAATGATTGCCAAATAGACACACATATATAGGCATATATATAAAAATTTATATAAGCATATATATGCCTATATATAAGTACATCACTTTATCAGTATCAAACTGCTAAATACAATATTTTGTCCTACATGTTTTAATTACATTTTTATTATAAATATACAACATTATATAATATATAATA